GCCCGCTTGTCACAATGTTCCCGGGAGTCCCTCACTGACGACAGCGCTGCATACACCCCAAATTAAACATAGGCCCAAGTTGAAAGGTAGTAAAACACTTTCGTTGTCTGTGAACTACATAAATAATGCCATGGATTAGTTTACAAGCACAACATAAAACCCATATATGCCTAATATACCTAACCTAATTTTAGTCCAATTAACTAAAGAAAAGATAAGAAAAAGTAAAAATAAATAAATAAAATAATAAATTAAAATAAAAAGGAACTGTCTTTAGCATATATATATATATATATATAGAGAGAGAGAGAGAGAGAGAGAGAGAGAGTGAGAGTGAGAGAGAGAGAGAGAGAGAGAGTTTAGCTGGGTTTTTTTTCCTTATTTGAGACAAACAGCATAGGTCATTATGTCATTCACAGCATCATGAAAATCGCAAAATACAAAAATAAAAACAAATTTAAAAAATTCACTGCTAGATGGTGAACTTTGAGGAACATTTTGTTAAAGGATATGTGATGATTTTTCTTTAGCAGATGGGAATTACATGTCAAGTTCAATTGTCACAATTCAGTTTAGACCATGCAATTCCCTATAAAATGGCCAACCTTTTATTTACCTAAATCAACAGTACTTAGATTTGGCACTTGTTAATATTGGATACTGCGGCTACATCTTCTGTGCCCATTTATCTCTAATCATCTTTTTTAGAGAACAGATTTAGAAACACACATGTGCAGTATAAAATGACTGCTACAGCAAAAGAAAGCAAAAACGTACATTTTCTGCACTTGTTGTAACATTTTGTCAGTATTTTATGCAAATGTTCATATGCAGCGGTAAGACAATGGCGTTCTAATGGAGGCATAAGAGCCCACAGCATTATCCTCGAACTGCGTTATGCATGTTGGCTTCTGGAAGAGTAATGAACCCACTGAACCTGTTCCTACACTTCCCACTCCTCTCTTTACATTCATCCATTTCTCCCTCCCTCTCGATTTCTCTTCCTCTCACTCTGCTCAGATTTCTTCCCTTCTTCATTTCCTCTTTGAAGCATCTCGCCTCTTTTTCTTCCCATCTCCCAGCTCAAATCCTTTTTCTCAACCCCCATTTTTTTGGTGCAATCCCCTCACCCACCCCCTCACCAGACTGTGCCGTTCTAGACGAGTTGAAGGTCGACCGCAGGCGGCCATATTTGCTGCAGCTTGAGACCTGCGTTCTATCTAAGCGAAGGTACAGATGTGATGCAAGTAGGTGTCAAGGGAAGTGCCTTTTACAGACCATCAATACAAGTGAAAACTACAATACACTGAAATTCAGAGATAAAGGTTATGTGAGATACTGCAAAGGCACAAGCACACCATCCTCTCATGTTCTCTCTTTGTGCAGCTCTTATTATGCATTGCAAAATGGGTGAAAAGAGAGACTATGGGCTGCTTCGGTTTTTCATTCTATGAAACGGATGCCTTTTCTAGTTTATAAGGTGAATTTTAAAGTATTTTTTATAAGATTTTAAATTGCACTGTGCTAACTCAAGCTAAATTAATATGTGAATATATATTAGGATATAATTATGTCTTCAAACGGGTTGACACACAACTTCAAGTGTTTTAGAAAAAGAAAACGGGTACTATATATATATATATATATATATATATATACACACACACACACACACACACACATTACTGTTCAAAAGGGGTCAGTAAGATTTTTTTATAGTAATTAATTCAGCAAGGATGCATTAAATTGATCAAAAGTGACAGCAAACTTTTTCAAATTAAAAATATACATATATTTTAAATAAACTTTCTATTCATTAAAGAATCCTGAAAAAAAAATTTAAACATTAAAAGAAATTATTCTTAAGCACCAAATCTGCATTAGAATGATTTTTGAAGGATCATGTGACACTGAAGACTGGAGCCATCACATGAATAACATACATTTTAAAATATAGTAAAACAAAGAACAGTTATTTACTGTTTTTACTGTATTTCTGATTAAATAAAAGCAGCGTTCCTTCAAAAACATTAAACAGACCCATGATACATACATATATAGAGATAAAGAATACATAAATTTTTTTTCCAATAAAAATGTGCTCACTTGCTAATACAGCAAGGAGAAGTTGAGAAGAAAACATCAAAATAAATAAATAACTAGATATATTAAGAAAAATGTCTATTTATTTTTTACACACATTACTTTGACACACTCATCCGTGGTTGATAACAGAACACTTCCTAATCGAAACAAGCATTTTCTATATAGCTACTTTGAAGCAATATGTATTGTGAAAAGCGATTTACCAATAAACTTGGACGCAAATACCACACATTTTGTAGAATGACCCATAAGATGCTATTTTCTATGATTATTTGCGTTGTTGGCTTTATCTTTAGTGCATGTTTCTGCTTGGCGGACATGTCTGTACCCTTTAATCCCCTGTTAACACATGCTCTTGTGCAGACAGGACTGAGATTAACACAGGAAGAGAGCTTCATAGGATCATAGCGTTTCCCTTCCCCCTCACATACATGACTACAATCATGCGTATGATTTTTTCCAAACCTAATAGGCTGTCTACATTTTAAGACATCACAGGCACACCCTGAATGCACAGCAAAAATAATTATAAAAATAATACCGTAATGCACTGTCAAAACACTAAAGATGGCAGATAAAGTAAAAAGACTGGAGACATAAATATAATTCATTCAACAATAAAATTTATAGATAAAAAGTTTAAAATTATTAAATGAAAAAAGCTTCTTAGACTCCTATTCTGAGCACTATTTGTATGATGTGCAGAGTTTCTACCTATTTACTGTGTTTTGTCACTTATGGGGTTTTATTTTAGTAAAGATGCTGTCTTAGAAGGTAGCTGCCTATGTAGGAAGCAATGCAACTCACTAGGTCAACTCACTAAGTTATGCATTTGCACACAATTACAGATCATATCTAGGAGCACACCAGTCTTAACTTCCCAATTCTTCTAAAATCCTGTTACTTGTTTCAAAAGGATGTCAGCATTCAAACCCTGTATGGAGCACAGAGTGTTGCCAACCATTTCAGCACCAGCATTCATTTCAGCACCACCCAATGGACAGCTCCCTCTGAGTTTTCAGCACCCCATGCCGTATATACCAGTTCTGCCTGTAGTGAAGGACCACCTGCTGAATCATCACACCCGGCTATACAATGGCTTTGATTCTGAAAATGTACGGTTTCTAAGAAAAAGAGGGAATTTAAATATAAATGCCCTGCAGTGAGAAACAAGTTTGCGTTTATGTCGTCCAAACTTTGGAGTAAGGAATGGTTAAGCATACTCTGTGAGAGGCCATTAAAGCAAATTCATTTGATGGGAAATCGTTGTGACTGAACTTGCGCTAAAGCAGCATACAGGGAAAGCTTGGGAGATCAAAGCCCAGGCCTGTCATGCTCTTCTAAGCTAAGGAAAACTCGAGAGTAAGTTTGAGCTGAGAAAAACTTCTCCTTTTGTTAGACTAAACACGTCAGGAGGCAGAATGTAGAATTATTTGCAATATATAATTGCAAAGTAACAAAAAATTAATTGTGTGTACATTTACATAATTTATACTTTACTGTTTGAATACAGTAAAAACAGCAATATTGTGAAATATTATTACTATTTAAAATATCTATTTTCTGTTTAATTATATTTTTAAAATGTAATTTATTCTTGTGAAGCAAAGCTGAATTTTCAGCAGCCATTACTAAATTCTTTAGTGTCACATGATCCTTCAGAAATCATTCTAATATGCTGATTTGCTGCTCAAGAAACATTTATTATTATCAATGTTGAAAACAGTTCTGCTGCTTAATATTTATGTGTAAACCATCATACATATATTTTTAGGATTCTTTGATGAATATTTATTTGAAATAGAATATTTTTTTGTATCAATTTAATGCATCCTTGCTGAATATATGTATTAATTTATAAAAAAATAAAAAACAACAACAACTTTTTAATGGCTGTGTATACTGTATGTTCTGGCCACCATTTTGGATTACTGCATTCATATTCTGTTTTCCTCTCTTGTTTTTTAAAGGAGCCTAATATTCTAAATCCTAAATCCAGGATAAGGAAGGAGAGGCTCGGATCTAAAAAATAAAAATAGGCCAACATCCGGCACAGCTAAGGCAAATCCACCCATGTCAAAAATGCCCATCTTGATTATTTCATTTGGGTAGAAGCTTCATGTTGATTTTTGGATGGGCAAACCTCAACAGTATGAGCATGTGTTATTTTGTCTTGGTATATTAGCCAGTTGCCAGATTATTGCTATATGAGCAACATGTATTATCATTTTAGATATAAGCATATATGAATGCAATCTGGATGCCTGCAGATGTTACAAAAAGAACAAGACTGTAATTACTGTATGAATTCTGTACAGAATTCTGATTTCTGCTCTCCAATTAAAGCATTTCTATAAGATAGATAGATAGACAGACAGACAGACAGACAGACAGACAGACAGATAGATAGATAGATAGATAGATAGATAGATAGATAGATAGATAGACAGATATCCTGCTTTCTTCCAGCAGTGTCAATGTCCCAAGAACCTCCTATCACCACTGGATTTACCCTGGCTTTAAGTTCCCTCCTTCTTTCTAATTCCTTCTTCAGTTCTTGATATTTCTCAAGCATCCTAGTTTTCTTTCTATCTACCATGTTTTTAGACTGTCACATAAGACATTTCTGTGTCTGTCCTACCAAATCATTTGCTGCTATGCATTTATATTTTACATTTCAACTTGGTCAGCACCAGTACAGTTGTCAGTTTGTGCATTGTTTATGATGCTCAAATTGTGTGCATATTCTTTATGTAGCTGGAGCTCCACAAACAAAGAAGAAGAGAAGACAATAAGTGACTGAAAGCTTGGAAATGGTACTCAGTTACTCAGTTTCAGTTTCACCACAACAAATACGGTTGCAACTTTTTCAAAGTTGAGGGTGGATCACATACCTGTGCACACCTCTTCATAGGTGGGGTTTGGGGTGTAACCGCCAGAGTAGCCCACTTGAGTGGAATAGACCCCCTTTTGCACCCAGAACTTCCTCTCAGCTCCCCAGAAACAACCCATGCCTGTGTTAAAAAGAGTAAAGAAAAAAATATTCCTTTTATATAGCCACAGACCATAACTGATCCATAATTGAGACAAAAAAAAAAACATCATATTTCTAGTATTGGCAGAAATGACAAGGACAGCCTTGATTCTGAGAATATTTATAGTACATGTACACATTTTATGGAAATTGAAATTTGTACGTTGCATGTTTACATTGCATGGAAAATCAAACCCATGACTTTGGAGTTGCTAGCACTATGCTCTACTGCTAGAACTGTTTGAACACAAAAACACAAAACAGCAACTTATTCAATTGCTGTTAATCAGACAGCAACTGAATAAGATGTCTCTTTTGAGATTTGTTAAAGGAAAATGAATTTTTTTGTCACTATTTAGTTATCCACATATATGCTGTTTGTTTGTTTGTTTGTTTTTTCCAATAATTGTTTTGCAGTTTTTGCCATAGCACAGTAGTTCAATGTGACCATGGGGCTGTCAAGCTCCAAAGGGACAAAAGCAACACCACAAAAGAAATATAGAAGTGGTCCATACGACTTTCCATTCCTAAAAAAAAAAAAAATCTATTGTATGGCTTTAGAAGCCTTGGAATTTAGTGCATGAATCATAGTTTGCTTTTTGATATTTTTTATGCTTTGGAACTTCACAGAAAAAATAGAAATATTGTAACCATGGAAAAAATAACAGGCAAATAACAGCATACAGGATTGAAATGACATGAGGGTGACTAAATATTCATTGAATTTTCATTTTGGAGTGAACTATCCCCTTAAAATTACGGTAACTAAGATTCTGCAGTGTACATTACTATTTAAAAGTTTGGGTTAGTAAGGTGGTTTTTTAAAAATAAATTACTACATTTAATGCATCAAGGATAAAGGACCAAATCAGCATATTAGAATGATTTCTGAAGGATCATGTGACACTGGAGACTGGAGTAATGCCTGCTGAAAATTCAGCTTTGCCATCACAGAAAAAAAAAAAAATTTTATAACATTAAAATAGAAAACTTAAAATATATATAATAATAATAATATTCAAGTAAATGAAGCCTTGGTGAGCATAAGAGACTTATTTCAAAACACTAAAAAAATCTTACCAACCCCAAACTTTTGAATGCTAGTGTTTAAATGTTTATCTGACTTTTCCTCACCAAATTCTCTTTGCAGTGTTTTTTGTGCTCCGCTGGGACCGAGTCTCCTCTAGCACCTTCCCACTGGTATTAAATCAACCCCTAAAATTCAAAGCTCTGTTTTTTAGCTATGAATTTACAATCCCGTAAAACTAAAGACCCATCGCGCATTTACTCAGGGCCAATAAAAACATATCAACCACCATAAAACTAACACCCGCTGTAAGCATTTATTACCAAATAATACTTTCCCCTCTATAACAGTAAAAATAAATTAGAGGGTAACTAGTATATCGTTATCTGCCACAACATCCCATGGGCAGAAAGTAATTCAATTGTTAAAAAAAAAAAATACGTACACGACTGTCGGCTTGACCAGATTTTTCTGATTTACAAGCTGCTGTGGAAAAGTGAGCATAAGGCGCATGAAGGAGAATCTAGAATCTGGAGCTCAATTACAGAGGTCCATTGGGACGCCCAAAACGCCAAGACTATAAAATGACGCTTTTACATGGGGGATGTCAATGTTCAGTAAATGAGGGTGAGTGCTGTGCGTGCTGTCTAGCAGTCAGAAAGCTACATTTTCCTGGAGTCAAAGGTAAGAGTTACCTTTCATCGCTCTCAGCAGGGGGAGGGGGGTTGTGAATTGCAAAGGCGCATACATACTTTGAATATTATTTTATTTGTATACAAGGCCCTGTGATAAAACAGCCATTTAATTCCTGTCTGCCATGATGAATTACACAGTTTGAGGCCTAAATAAAGAAAAAAAGGGAAGCTGAACAAATGAATTTATTAAAGAGATCCTAATCAGCAGTCCACAATTAATCGCACACCCCTCCCATTTATTTTCCTCGTCCTTTTGCAGTTTTGGTTTTGCACTTCTTGAAGGGGTGCATGGGGGGTAATTACCTTCCACCACCGGTCTCCTTAGCTGGATCTACCCCCATGCCGCGATTACACACACACGCACACACACATACCTCTCTCAGCTCGGATCACTTACCAAATAAGACCATCTGCAATCCCTCTGGGAACGGTGGCACTGTCCTGTTACCATTCACATCGTGTTTAGCTGCAGGACACAGGGGAAACAATGGAGAGAGTGCCCTTATAAATCAACACAATGTCAAAAGGATTTCATAATGTGCTCTTCCCAACGCAGCTCACAGTAGGGAAGAAACTCCCAGGAGGATAGTGGCTCTATTCCTACGCAGCTCATTAAGTTCAACCCTTAAGTTTTGGGTTGATTCCTTTATCTTTCACTTTAGGAGCACCAGGAAGACAGGAAAAAGACAGGGAAGGTCAGAATGGACAGAAAGTCATTTTATCAAGGAAGGTCGAATGATGGTCATTCATTCCTATGCATTGTGGATTTTTTAGGAGGGGAGGGGAACAACACCTGGCCGGATTAATATATGTCAATGCGACGTTTTAACATGTGACAGGGATACAGATGGGCCGAGGCATGGAAAACCATTGCATGGATTAGAATAAATGGAGGTCACTGAGTTCAACATCTGGGCGCAGCCATGCCGGAGCTTCAACATGCACGTACTGTATGAGTATGTTGCCATGGCAGCAGGGCATGCCAATACGGCCAGACGGATGGCAGACCTACATAAATAAACAAATAAGAATGAAAGAATGTTCAGTCTAATGCTGACTCTATTTTCTTTCATTTTATATCCTCCTTTTAGTTTATCATATCTATAAAATGTGTTTGCATCCAAAGTCAGTGGTGTGTTTCACGAAGGGCTTCCTGAAACGTGGCTGTGACTTAAAAAAAATAAAATAAATAATAATCCTAGGTGAAACAGAGTGAAAACCTTCTTTTGGCACAGTAAATCTTTTCATTTTAGAATTAAAATGGCACTCGAACAATACAGTGAAAGAGAGGCTTTCTGTGGAGGCCACAGCTCTAATCTAATCTGTGTAAGTGGACTGAAGAGAAGCATTAGAACAGACTTCATTAAATCACTTTCACATTCAGACCGTCAGTGCTGATCTGTTTCAACCGCTCAACACTCTCTTACACCGTACAGTATACACTGAGCAAAAATTCCATGTAGTCTCTTAATTCAATATCAATCAGTATAAAAAGATAAACTTTTGGGTAGTAATAATTCTAAAAGACTTCGAATAATGTTTTTTAAAAAGTTATTTTATCCAAAAATGAAAAGTCTATCATCATTTACTCACCCTCATGGCATTTCAAACCTATATAACTTATAATTTCTTATATGCGGGGGGGGGGGGGATTCTGGCTCTTCTTTTCAATATAATGGCAGTGAGTGAGGACAGTGAATCTGTGACCATAAAAGAATCATAAAGGTGAACTTATCTATATAATAGATCAATGGGTCCATATGACTCACACACTATATGTATCAACTGACAAAACAGTGTTGTGAACCAGATCAACTAATTCATTGAAAAGTAGAATGGACCACTTGTTTAGCGCTTTTTTGGTCCTTTTTGAGCTTGAAAACCTAGGATATTATTAAAAATTATTAAAAATGTCTTCCATAAAAAAAAATAAAATAAATAATGCAAATCTTTTGTTACTAATTGATATCAAATCAACAACCCAGACTGTAAAAATAGCATGCAGATGACCTCACTACTCTACATTCTTTTTAAATGATTATTTAGCTTTTTCAAATTAAAGCAATTATATGTAAGTTTTTACTTTGAAATATCAGTTTCAACATCATTCCGTTGACACTGTATACTGACTTTTAATAAGGCGAATGGTTTCTGTTTCTTTCTCACACTTCCCTCAAAACGTCTGTTGTTGTACGTTTGGTGAGCAGGTAGCAAATTCCACAACAAGGGTGGATTGCTTTACGACAGCAACAAATGCACATGTACAGCTTATCCACTTACTTACTTGTCAACTGAAAAATATACAAAACTGCATACAGCTGCTTCATTGTAAACTTTTTCTAGCCCAATCAAATAATCTGTGAAAAAGCAATGAAACGAGAACCAGTTTATTAGTCACACTTGAAATGGACAAGTCGCACACATTGCATTAGGGATACAGTATTCCAGTACAGTATGTTTGCATACTGCACATTGTAGTAAATGAGGTCATCCAGGTGTTCTATATGCATATAGAAAATCTGCAAACTATGCACAGTACACCATAGATCAGCCACCATACGTTTCTCAGGCCCGGTTTGCAATGCATATGCATAGAGTGGAGTAGTGTTATTGATCTGCAGTGTGTCATTCTGGAAAAAAGTAGCTTGCCTTACAATAAGGACTGGCAAGAGTTGAGGGTTGGGTCGGTGGCTGCACTTTTGCCTTTGAATGTGAGAGGAGTGACCAAGCCACTGCCCACGCTGAGCTACAGAGCTTTCTATTACCCTCTCACCACGCTCCTGCTCTCTAATGGCCAGCACTCACCTTAGCTGTATTTCAGTGCTATAGTGTATGGTTACACCTCAACCCATTCCATCATGTTGCATCCAAAGCACTCGGCTCTCTCTGTGTGACCTCAGAGCACAGATCCAGATTGACAGGCGTTTGGAAGCAGATCTTGTGAAAAAAATAAAATCACGAATATGAACTTACATGACCTTTGCAAATACTTGATAAGGATTTTTTTTAATAATTCAAATTCAGAATGATTCACTAATGAATCTTCAGTCCTACATGGTTCAAATCATTCATTGAAAAGAGTGAAAAAAATGACATGCAAACAAGAACATTTATGTGATTAAATATTTTAAGGATAAATATACATAATATAACAGAGAATAATTATATACTATATAATTATATACTATACTATACTATATATACTACATAATAATGAGAATAATTTATAAGGAATTTAAAGTCCCCATGAAATCAAAATTAAAAGTTTTTTTGGGTGTTAGTATCCATATGTTAGTCTTAAGTTTATCTATAAGGCAGTGTGCTCCAAAACAGTGACAAAATTCGCATTTAGAAGATATAAGCATTCAAAGCTTGCAGTTCCTCACTTGACGTCACATCGTACTTCAGCTTCTCATCAAACTTTCTATCCAATCAAATGCTCTCTAGAATCCGAAGCGCCCAACCCCTACACTATAAAATAGACGCTGAAGTAAACGAACGCTATTGGCTATTTTAAAAAGGGGCGGGGCCGCCCTGTCTTCCTGTTTCAGTTAAAATGACGTCAACACATAGAGAAACGTGTTTCTAAGCATTTCAGGGGACCTTTAAGAAAAATAATTTAATTAATTAATATAATTTCTATAAATTATATAAAAATCCAACAATTACTAAAAACAACAACTAAAAAATATTAAATAGTATAAAATTGCATCACATTCATGTGTATATGTATATACAATTTATAATATAAAAATAATGATTAAAAAGTAAAAATGTAAGAATAAATAAAAATATATATTTTAAGAATAATATATTTAATGAAAAAATTTATTTTTTAGTTATTTTTTCTTCAGAGAGGGCTCCTGTCCCCGAGTCTAGCCCAGTGAGGGCTCCTGTACCCGAGTCTAGCCCAGTGAGGGCTCCTGTACCCGAGTCTAGCCCAGTGAGGGCTCCTGTACCCGAGTTTAGCCCAGAGAGTGTTCCAGTCCCCAAGTTTAGCACAGAGAGGGCTCCAGTCCCCAAGTTTAGCCCAGAGAAGGCTTCAGTCCCCGAGTTTAGCACAGAAAGTGTTCCAGTCCTTCCGTGGTGGCCGGGCCGAGTGGCGAGGCCAAGGCCACGGAGGCCGCCCAGCCATGGCGTCCTAAGTTCGCAGCTGTAATGACCGGGCCGAGGGGCGAGGCGCCATGGCCGTCCCGCCATGGCCTCCCGAGTCTCCTGATCCGCCACGGCTTCCTGGGCTCCCTGCTCCACCATGACCTCCTGAGTTCCCTACTCCGCCATGGCCTTCTGAACTGTCTGCTTCGCCATGGCCTCCTGAGTTCCCTGCTCCGCCACGGCCTTCTGAACTGTCTGCTCCGCCATGGCCTCCTGAACTGCCTGCTCCACCATGGCCCCTGAGCTCCCTGTGCTGCCATGGCACCCTGGACTGCCTGATCCACCCTGGAGGTATTCCCCGTGTCCCAGTCCTGCACCAGCCTCCAGGGCGCCCACCCCTCCCCCTT